TGCTTGGCCAGCCATGGAATTCCCAACACCACGGCATGTGGAAGGTCCGTGACCAAAAAGGAGACCTCTTCCGCATGGTCCCCGACTTCCATCAGCATGGGCGCTGTATAGCGAGCCACCGGCCCGGCTTTCAGCAAACGCCCATCAAAGTTTTGTACATCCCGGGGAGGCTGGAGGTCTAAACATTGTAATCCAAGGAACTCCACAAACCGACTGTCCATGAAATTGTTAGTGGCCCCACAGTCGACCAGCGCGTGCACCGCCGTGGGAGTCTTTTTGGCCACACAAAACGAAACCAAGAGAAAAAACAGCATCCCAGTCGCGGGCTCCGGAAATGGGGTGGAGACCGAGTTTGCGAGCCCAGCTAAACTCGGTCGTTGGCTTCCCCCGCCGGCTGGTTGGCCCGTTGCTCACCGGATACCTGGACCTGGGGCGCCACGGGCTCCACTGAGCCGGAGATCCCCGCCAAGCGGGGGCTTGTCTTCTTCTTGACAGGGCACTCCCGAGAGATATGCCCGCTGCCCCCACAATACCAACACAGGTTTAGCCGTTGCCGTCGCGCCTTTTCCGCCGCATCAATTTTGGGGCGCATGGAGCCCAGCTGCATGGGTTCCTCTGCATCGGGCGCAGGAGGTGGCGGCGGACCCAAGCGATGTGGCACTCCCGCATCGGCCCTCTTCCGACCCACTGGCCGAGGCCCAGCAATGATGTGACGTTGATTGGCCATGGTTCCATCTATCCGGATGCATAGGGTCATTAATTCTTCCAAGTTGGCCAGGACAGCGGAACGGGCCACCTCCAACTGCATCTCCTGGGTGAGCCCCGCTTTGAAAGCGCTCATGTAGGCGGCATCGTTCCAAGCCAGCTCCTGCTGCAATACACGAAACTCCGAAATGTATTGGGCCAAACACCCCTCTCTTTGCGTTAGGGCACGCAGCTTACGATCCGCCATCTCCCGGTGCACTTGGCCTCCCCAAACTTTGTGCAGTTCATCCATGAAAGCCTTGACAGTGTTGCACACAGGGGAAGCGGCCTCACGTAGCGCGGTGGCCCAGGAGAGGGCCGGGCCCTCCAACAGACTGTAGGCAAAGCCCACCTT